TACAGAAGCAAAACTCTTGTGTCCATCACATCACAAAAAGAGATAGAGAGAGATCACTTCATATACAAAGAGAAAGTCTCTATTTTGTTTGCTCTTTGTATTTGGCTGCTGAAACCCAGACTGTGAGGTATAGCGCTGCAGGGAAAAGAGTGAGAACTGAAAAAACCCCTACATGCTCATGCTCGCGCTCGTGCACGAGGGGAAGAGCTCCACTCTGCAGCTGCACACGCTTGACTGAGCGAGCATCCCTCTCTCACCCAGATCCCACTTCTTTTAGATGTGGATTACCCAGCAATATTGCCTGCCTCCCTGTTTGTTAGTCTGTTTGAATACTTTTTTTAAAATATATATATATATATATACACATTTATTGATGTTTATTAAAAATATCCGACCGTCAGATTTAAGTAATGGTGCATGTTTAACACAAAACCTTTCCTCAGTACAAGATGTTTGTATCTCTTAAGGAAGAAAGAAGTGTCTTGTCCACTCTGATGCTCTACACAACAACATGGATGATCTCTCTGAGCCAAAACAAACCTGCTTCAACCAAAGCTGAAGCTGTTTTATGATCCAGAGCAGCCAGACTTCACTACATGTGCTTGCCGACCACCGATCAAATTTAAACCGTTTTGAATTGTTTGATTCACCGATAAATAAATAAAAAAGAAGCTAAAAACACCATCGCCCTCGGCGCTTCAGGCTGTACCTGCCCCAACAAGACAAACCTCATAAACTATTCAGCAACAATTAAGCAAAGCCCACTAGCCCAGAGCAAAACAGGCATCAGCTGAACATCAATGTTAAACTAGACATATGATTTGCCTCCAAGCAGCTTGTAGTGGGCTTGACTCCTCTCTCAAAAGAGCTAGTCCATTGTAAAATGCCATATTTTAGTCTCGTTTGCAGAGCAATATTTAAGGAGAGGCAGAGGACGGAAAAATGGACAAGGAGTCTCTGGCAATTGCTATTTAAACATCAAATGATGTAAAGAAAAATCTAATCAAATAACACCAGACTTGTCCCAATAAGTCCTGTAGATTATAATAAACTTGCGGAGCTGCCTTTCCTCTGAGCGAAAAATGGAGCAGCAGCAGTAACGGCAGCGTTGGTGTGATTAGCAAAGCCAGGTATAGGCCACAAGTGGTCTTCCAACATCTGAATCATCCTACTCCTTGTGCTCACAATCTCCCGATAAGCGAGTCATAGCGTAGGTTGCACGCACGCACGCACGCACGCACGCACTAACACACATGCCCACACACACAGCTCTCCCACTCATTCATCTCATTACATACAAATCATGTCTCTTGTGGCCCAGTTGCTTGCACCCCACATTGTTCACCATGACAGTAACTCAGAAGAATAGATTTTGATGCACTTGTTTGGGAAAATAAAGAGTTTAAGTGACTACTCACTGGTACAGCATACACACTGTCGTCTCTGGAGGTTGTTTTTTATTTTTTTTAAATTTTTTTTTTTTATGTGTGAATAAAATCACATTAGTCACTTTTCAAGAGTTGTTGAAAATCAGTAAGTCAGACATGTCTGAGAGCATTTCGAGGGTCTGTACTCGAAAGCTGAAAAGCAAGACAGTGGTAAAAATGTACAGGCTCGTTGGCCTTACAGGTGTGAGTGGCAGGTTTTCAGCTCAGGGTCTCACTTGAGCAATTTCGATTCCTGCCTTTTCCACTGACAGTGATAGAATGAAAAGGCACTAACTGGGACAAACGGCAGGTGACGGTAGATGTATGATTCAGGCGGTGTTTTCTTATATGTTCAACTTCTCAAAATAGCAGATGGAATAATATCACTGCCTTTAAACAGATAATTGTGAGTGGCTGTTGGAGAGACTTTCTTTGGCCCAAGTGGCTCCCATCCAGAAACGAGAGTGTAACACTTGTACAGTCTCACCTGCCGACTGAAACCACGTAATTGTTTCTGATGCACCAATGTTCTCGGCACAGGGCTCTAAAATGGCAATGGTAATTTGTCTGTAATTGTGTTGAAAAATGGCCATTTTGAAAGAAATCATTCACATTTCAACTTAATTTACCCAATTTTGAAACCTATTACAGGGCTTTTAATTTGACAAAATGCAACAAAAATACTTGCTAAACAGAAATTGGGTAGACGCGCCACATATAGTATGCTATAGAGATAAAACACAGGTAAATCCCAAACAAAGATGTTGGAGTTCCTTTTGCTGCCACCTAGTCAATCAGCTAGGATTCTTTTCAGTAAAAAATGAAGATTGCTCTGACATTTACAACACACACTTAGTTCGCCCTGCTTTCAGATTTGCATTTCTGAAGTCACTGTGTACACTCACCTATTTCACACACGGTTGTCAAAGCCTGAGTTTTTGCCGGTGACCTTTACGAATGTCTCAGACAATGAATTACCGCTGTGAGATACTTTCTACCATTATGCTGCACATCATTTTCACATCCGTGTATGCAGTGGCATGTTAGGACAACAATGTTTGTGGAGAATACATTTTTGCAACACACATGCTGCCAGAAAAAAAATGACATGTTACTGTCTCCTAATGATTTAATGAGCATTATTCAAGGTCTTCTGGAGGTCTTTGGCATAAATGCAGCACACTAATGAGAAAAAAGGGACATTCACACAAGAAACCACTTTGGACCCGCTATGGATGCTGAAACATGTATAATTCAAAATAGAGCCACAGCGTGCTCCGCTAGTAATTCCATATCTTGCCAATTACTGTTTCACATAATGATGCTGAAATGACTTTGCTCAGGGCTTCTTGATAAAAAAAGAATACAAATGGCACACAAACATATATTAACATATTGGCTTTCTGTCTCAGATACTTGTGTGTATCCATGTGGAAGATCCTGGGTACAAACAGATAAATAGGTGGTGATTAACATGGCTGGAGACTGGGACCTCTGTGCCAACAAGAGAGAAGTAACTGTTGGCTCCTAACTTTATTTATTTTTGCACGGTACCATGCAAATGTCTTTGAAAGGTTTAATGAGAGGAAAACGGAGGGAAAATGAACAAAGATGAGTTGCCTAAAGGAAATCATTACCACGCATCATTACTCTTGACTACACACTGCAATGAAGACTGGATGCTGTAAGATGCTTACAATCCAGAAAGAAAGCATTTAGAAGGGAGTGTTTGATTTGGTCCACACACACACACACACACAGCAGACTTCCTCCGGTCAGACAAGGGACACGCATGTAGGAAGCACCCAGCGAGCCAACAACATGCGTCCCAAATAAAGTCTGTGGTCATGTGTTGAGCAAGTGGGTGCAGGGGATGTCTATTTAAAATATTGCCATGATTATTTTTTCTTTAGCCCCTGTATCCAGTGCATCACGTAAAAAAATAGAAAGCTATCAGACAAAGAAATGACAACGATTTTTCCAAGGCGAGCAGGCAATCTGTATGCCTTCATGATATCTGTTTAGAGAGGAGTTGAGAGAGGGAGATGCAGCTGAGAAAGACTAATGGGATTCAATTGTTTTGTTCTCCCTCTCTTTACTGGACAGCATGTTTGAGTAACGAGCCAGGAGAGACAGAAGACAAAGGGGGATGACATCTAACAATGTCCAAGGCAGGATTTGTACCCAGTTCTCTCTAGCGTCACCGCTAAGGAGACGCTAGAGAGAACCTTTACATATGCATTTTATTTATAACTCAACACTGTGACTGCCTCAAGTGCATGAAAAGGTTGATTTGATCCACAAGAAACACGGGGCTTCATGTTGATGGGAACTCATTCACAAATACACATTGTGAGACATTCTTGGTAATGATACAAAAAAAGGTAGTCGAGGTAATTAAATCAATTTGACCTACATTTGTGATGGTTTAGGATTACAGTGTATGGCACTCCAACATTTTTCATTCTGTGAAAACAAGTGTCTTTTTGAGGAGCTTTGTCAAGTCTCACAAAACAATACCCTGATGATGTCACCCGGTTTATCAAAACTTGATCTTGCATAAATCCATGACATACAGCCTGCGTTACAGCCTGTTAGCATGAGGTTTACCGGTAAGGTAGCATCTAACAAAGATATGTTATTAAGGTGCATGATGGGAAGTGTAGGATCCAGTCTAACATGTGACTAAATGGGAGATATCCGCTGTTTTAAATTTCAGTCTTTTACAGCATGTCCCATGCAGGTCTCGCAGCGCCACTTTGACACTTTTCCACCTTTGAATGCAATATTCTCAGCTCTGTGAAACCAGAACATACCCCAGTTTTGCGAACACCCTTTCTAATTAGAAGTGCTATATGTTTTGTACACAAGGAAATTTTAATAGCAAGAAAAAAAGAAGAGTCTAGTGCTTTATCAATAGATGAACTAGCCTGCTGATTTAAAAAAAAAAAAAACATGTCATGGCACTCAACCATCGTCTCCATAAAATATAGAATTGTAAGATAGCACTAGCAGCCAACTTCTACATATGCAAAGAGGAATAATACAAACTTCACCAGTTTCCCATCATCTCCGAGCAGACACAGATGTAAACAGACATATTGAGTTACAACGATACCAGTACAGATTTTAAACAGAAACCAGTCATGTTGTCAAGAAGAGCGTGCACTGGCTGTTGGGCTGCAGCTAACCCTAACCCAAAGTGACGTCTTCAAATGTCTTACCGAAATAGTTGCAGATCATTTTTCTGTCAATAAACAATTCAATTAAGTGACTAATCCTTTCTGCTCTACTGGCCTGTTCAATCACATTTACTGGAGTGTTATTTACTCATCAGGTAAGCACACAGGGCAAGTGAAGCAGAGTGTTGGGATAGAGCACGGTGGCAGGATTCAATCCAGAACCACTGGGGGGCAAACTTTAACTTTAAAGTCCTCTCATAGTAAACAAAATGAATTACTTCCCAGACCAAATAACCAGAAATGTCTTGACGATCACTGAGGACTGTGTACGCACAAAGCCAGAGACACAGTTTATAAATCCTTCATTTTTCAACTGATAGCAGTCACTCACAATGCTCTCGCGCTGCCGTGGTAACAGTCTTCCTACGTCATTTCTGATGCCGTCTCCCTCTGATGGAGCTGAGAGGATCAAGATGGTGAAACCACAGGTGGAAGAAGCACCTGCTCGCCCTTTAAAGAAACAACAACGCACACTGAAGCCAGTGAAACACCTGTACTGTGGTATTGATTTTGAAACACCTGCATGAGAGGCCAGTAGTAGCCATTTATATTACTTTTACCAACCTACTAAGCTGCTCCGGCTCAAACGCTAGGAAAACAATCTGTTGGGTGCTCCAAGAATCCCACAGCAACAACGAAAGAAATTCCATTACTGCTCATCCTGACAGGGGTATCCACTCGACTAGAGAGATGGGCTTGAAATGTCAGCATCTGCCCCGTCTGTCGCACGTCCATCAGTCCCTTGCTTCCCGGCGGTCCCTCTCCTCTCTGGCCCTGTGAGGGCCTTCCTTCGCCCTCTCTGGGTCCAGTATGCTTGTGTATTCTACTCCAAGCTGAATTACTCATCCTTTTTGGAATCAGACATGATGCACACTGCCGATCAGAGCAACTGAATCATCCACTTCATGGAGAAAAGCTCAAATGCATTCAGAATCCTTTCTCCTTTATTGGAAACAGTGGTCAGTTATGATTCTTTCTATAAATAAATCACAAGCTCTGCCTAAATCCACTAACTCCAACCCAAAGTTTGTGGTGTGTTTTTTTTTTTATAATTTTCTTTTTTTTAGTAAAGAAACATATTCATTTGTTTCCACACTGACTGAGCTGCCACATAAGAGCTGCCATTCCTTGATGTAATCACATTTCTGGACTGAATTAGGGATCACCAAGCGAGCAACGGCAGTTAACGAGCCCCGGTTTTCTCTCTGCATTCAAGACACACTGCACAGTATGTGTGGCTCACAGCCTGCACTCACTGACCCCGAATACACAGCTGCTCTGAACCATCCCCGCTCTCCTCTGTTCGTACCAAGGAGTGCATAAACCAAACAGCACAAGAGACCGTCACATATCCGATCCTGTTTACCTGTATCTGTTCGCCCATAAGCAAGACTTGAAGCCATTAAGCTCCAAGGTCAATAGACTGAAATTTATATTCCAGTTCAATGTCAGGCAGGTGGTGAAATATCCAACGTGCTGGAGCATCCTCCCTAAAGAAAACCCATCATACTATTTGCACAGGAATATCGGTACTATTCCTTTTACCCAATCCTTTTACAGTTTCAAAGACAGCCTTACTAACTGACATGACTTGTTCTTTCAAAGTAAAATGTCCATCTCCAGCCAAGTCAAGTAACCTTCTCTGATTATTCTAAGTAACATTGGAAGAGAGATTAAAGCCAGTCAGGTAGAGAAATAACTAGAACAAACGTGTTCATATTCGCAGCCTTACAACTACTCTTTATTGGTATTTCTCTAAGGGGGGCGGAGAAGAAGAAGAAAAAAATGCTCGTTTTGAGTGGCAGTCACGCCCGGAAAAAAAGGGGGAAAAATAGTATTGACTTAATTCCACGTTTAATTCACGACCCCTCGACCCTTTTGGATCCGGAGGCTCTAAGGTTGGATACTGCGGCAGTTTATCGGGTAGGCTATCAGTGGATGTTTTGTTTTTTGCCTACTCTAAAACCACATGTGATGCTCGAGGCTCCCTCCCCTCATCCAGAAGCCTGCCGCTCCCGCACCTCAAAGACTCGCCAACACATCCTCACCTGGCTGCGCACAAACAAACACACACACACACACACACACACACACACACACACACACACACGCACACACTCACCCCAAGTGTATTCACAATCACATTAACTGCCGCCCATTCTCTCACTCACACACACACGCACACACACACACGCGCGCATCACACCACCCTGCTATATAGCCTTATCATCCGTAAACATGCAGATGTTTTCCATCATGGCCTTGCAGATGGAGGCTCTGTTTTGGTGTGTGATGAATAACGCCGTGCATGCTCCAGCATCACCAGTCAGCTGATGGCTTGTTTTTTTGGTGAAATATTTATAAGGTCTTGTCACGACTGAACTTAAACGCGGGCTGTGGGTTGCGCTGCGCGGCAGGTCTCGCCATCTCTTTCGGATTTGGGGCTAAAACACGGGCCTTATATCCACCGTCATGGGCTGTGAGCCTTTCAAGGTTGAATAATTTGGCTTGTGAGCACGCAGCGGCTCGCTGTCAACCTTGTGTTTATTGAAATTCACCCGTGAAATGCCATCAGGCCCCGTGCGTCCCCCCTCCGCAATACAGCACCATCTTCCCCGCTGCTAATTAAGCAGACAGTGCATTGAGACTGTGACAGCTGTCTACATACAGGCTAGATGATGTAAGCGACTGATCCGATCATTTATAGAGCAAAAACACCATATTATCGAAGAGACCTACCTTGTTTACGGGGTAGCCTATATGGCTGGCGCAGAGGCAGACTGTGCCGATATCCAGTTGCCCGGGCTCGTAAAAACCAGACAACAACAACACCACGCCGGTTGTTGATGACACAGCTGTCTTGGTAGACGGGGAGGGGAGGGAAAAAAATCCTTTCCCAGATGTGTCAATTGACGTGGAAAGGAAAAATCAGCTATTCAGACGCATATCACCGTACTGACGCCTTTTCTTGACGTGAAAGGTCTTCCATTTTTTTGTGACAAGCAGCGCGCTGTAGCCCTCTACTATCGAGGCTCGGTGTAGCCTGGCCGGTGTGAGATCTGATCGAAATCCATGATGCAGTTCAATGCGACGTTACAAAAGGATCCTCTGCAAAACACGCAGGTGACACGCCATCCCCGTGCGCTTCAAAAAGGGCTCCAGCGTGACCTCCGCCAAACTAACATGCTTTCAGTTCAGGCGTGAACGGAAAAATTGGAAGAAAAGAAAAACCGTGAAAACAAAAACAAAAAAATGCGCAGAGATCAGCGCGCCTGTGTTGGTTCAAGCGCTGGGCATCCGCACTGAGTGTTTGCATCCATATTAATATTCATACAGTACTTCCTGAAAGCAGACCAGTGGTTGTTTATAGAGAGAGAGAGGGAGAGAGAGAGAGGGAGAGAGAGAGAGAAAAAGCAGCATCCGAGGTGGCTTTGAGTCCAACTGCGACGAGAGGCTGTTATCTTCTGGCTGTTATCGGAGGACCGAAATGAAAATTCCCTTCACGGCTCATATTTAGCAGAAGGATTCAGCAGCAGGCTCATTAAATGTCCGGATGGATTCTTGATAAAGTAGCGGACGATTTTGCAACTATAATAAACCTAGACCATGTTATCAGCATACACGAGGACAAACAATATATGAAATGTAACAAGTATGGGAATATTATAGAAGCGTTTTAGTGATGTAGTGGGAGATACAATTGTATAAGTGTAAAATAAGCTCGCAATAAACCCACAGACATTTAAAGTAGGCTAAGCCTTCGTATTAACATTGGTGTTGTATTTTGTTTGGACTGGATCTAGATGACCAGTTCAATTAAAGCTTGCAGAGACAGACTGTACAAAGGAAAACATAGTCTCAATTTAGTATTTTAATGTATTTTCCTTGACTTTGGGGTAGGGGAAATTGTAACTATCGACATACAAATGTGGTGTTTTTGGGGATGGAGGTGTCACATGACTAACTAGCCAAACACATGGCCTGTATGAGACTGACACGCCCCCTAAAGTCCATGGGAGACGGTAAAGGTGAAGCACAGGCCTCTCTAATCATAGAGGCTATATCTGTATAATCTTTGGACTGTCAACGCCACAGACAGAGCTGCACAGCGGTCAAAGTTTGTCTGTGAGGGGTCATCTCAACGCCGAAATATTTCAGCGATTGATTAAACTGTCTTCAGACATTGGTCAAAGTAATTTGGAGCAGATAACTGAATACCCAAGCAGTGGTGGAATGAGTACTCATGATGTTTTAGTGGAAGCAGCAACACCACAATGTAGAAATACTGTGTTACAAGTAGAGTCCTTTCTTCAAAATGAAAGTACAAAAGCATCAAAATACACTTAAAGCAACAGCACTCATTATGAAGAATGGGCCATTTCATAAATATGTATATTATATTATTGAATTATAATTATGGACGCATTAATATGTTAATTACTCGAATGTTGCAGCTGGTACAGATGAAGCTTATTTTTCATTATGTACATGTAGCTTGTGAATTTCCCCAATAAGGGTTCAATAAAGACTTTATCCATAACAATACATCAGAATTGATTTGTTGCTTAGATTTTGTAATATGAATCTGCAAAGTAACTACTACCCGAAGTTATCAAATAAATGTAGTGGAGTTTAAAAAGTACAATTTGTCCTGAGTTGTAGTGAAGTAGAAGTATAAAGTAGCAGAAAATGGATATACTCAAGTATACTGCAAGTACCTCAACAATATACTTATATTAGCCACTTAGTTTTATAGCTGTAGGGAAAAAAAGCAATTGTCTTTCTGAAAAGCTAAAACATCCTCGAAGTACCTGTCTAAATGTAAATTCTAAAATGAATTAGAATATACTACTGTACCATCTCATTTCAAAGTAAAAAAATGTTGTTACCATTCAACACACACATGGGGGGGGTGGGATTAAATGTTGAAGTCCCTACACATCCATAGTTCACCCCCATAGGTGCTTTCACTTACATTGCCTGATTAAACCTCTACTGAGGACTGTGTGAGCATGTACAGACTCCACGTGATTGACATCTCCCTCGCCCTGCTGGTGCATTTGTTTTACCTGTTAGGGCGGGACAACTTCCACTGCTGCCATTCTCATTGGTTCACAGAGTTTGGTGACGTCTCATAACTCCCAGCAAAGCTCCACTAACAGTAGCTTAAAGGGGACATATAATGCTGATTTTCAGGCTCAGTTGTAATTTGGGTTTCTACTAAAACATGTTTACATGAAAAAAATATATTTTATCTCTGCTCTGACTGGCTTAAGAGAAAAATATGGTGCATCTCAGCAAAGGTAGTTGTCAAGGTGTGGGTGGAGATAGTAAGATTGGGGGGAGGCAGTGTATTCTAATGAGCCTGCATGTGACATAGGAAGGGGAGCCAAATCTGAAAGATTTGTTGAATCACATCTTTCGATACAGACAGCCCATAAAACTGACTGGGTTATCTTATTTCACAATGTGTGGGTTGGCTGCGTCTCCATACATGTTTGTGCACAAGCACTGAAAAAAAAAAGTAAGAGCAGCATTTTTGCAAAAGAGAAATTTGTGTTACTTCATGAAAAGATAAATAGCCGAGTCTACTTTTATATTTGCATTTTTTTTTTTTTTTGTATTATTAAGTTCAATAATACCATCAGAAGAGATTGACACATAATGTTTTTGGCCACTAGAGTGACCAACAACGAAAGAGACACACAACACCGACATGACCATGAAATAAGTGCATTTCCAGGAGATGTTACGCAGAAGCAAATAATAAAGTATCCAACTATAAAACTTATAAAGTAATAACGTAATGTTTATCTCGGACATTGCTTGCTTCGGGGGAGTGGATTTGTTATCAGCAGCTTTACATGATCTGGTCAAAGTGCATCCTGCATGTGGACCTTTACCTCAACTGTTGAATCTGCATCTATTCAAATAAACCTGGGAATAAACTCCAGCAAGGTAAAGTATTAAGCTTTGTGCTGAGCAGTATGGTCATAAAAGTAGTTTTATGCTGTCTTGATGACTTTTAGGCAAAGTGTTTTGTGGTCTGATGTTTTATTTGTGAACAAATTAAAACTGTACAGGTTCAGCTGTCAGCTTATTCATGAGTAAGTTATTTCAGTTATGCAGGCTGCTACCTGCGTAACAAGTTTTTAAGACTGAGTTCTCTAAAGGGAGTTTAGAGCAAAAGCAGCTCATTTCTCATGCAATCTGATCTCTACAACAAGGTGGACTTTATCATTATTATCTTGGATAAAGCAACTTCAATTTCCACAGGCATAAAGTATATGATTTATTGAATGAAAGTACAGTTTAAATGTTATCGATTGCCTCCAGGTTGCAGGAATGACTAAAGAGAAAACTCAGTGGAAGGAATTCTTAGAGGCAGTGAGTACTCTGCAATGGGTGATATCCTTTCTCACCTTAGGTAAGATCCAACTACACTTACTGTTTTTGAGTTTTGTATAACACAACATGAGAAATTATGTCAAATGATCATTGTTGCTATAGTTACATTAGCTCACCTATTAATTCACAACTGAATCTGTAAAACAACAATGTATTCATTTGTATCTGCGCTAATCTAAGACGTCTCTTGTGCCTCCAACACATGGACTCTGGTACTGTCCAACACGGCACAACACCACTACAGCAGTGGCCTGTATTATCTTGATGGTGTGCCTTATGTTTACCTCACTGTGGCCGCTCCCCACTCTGTACTTCATATGGATGGTGGTGGACTGGCAAACCCCTGAAAGAGGTAAAAGAAAATACGTCACTCAAGCACCCACAAAAATGGAAGAATCCCATACATGAACTATTTTCCCATGATGCATTTGTTTCAGTTGTTCCTCCATTTCCTTTGTGTGTTGCGTTGTGTATACACCGTAAACACTGTTTTCAGTTTGACATTTTGTAGTGTAGTCTGGAGTCACAGCCTATGTTGATTCTTTTTTTTGTATACTAAGTGCAAAAAACAGTATCCTACGACAATAAGAATATGAGGCCCACTGTGAACAGTTAGTGTAGTCTGACATTTCTAACGTCTCCATCAGGGGGCAGGAAAAACACATTTGTGAGGCGGTGGAGGGTCTGGGAGCACCTCAGAGATTTTTTCCCAATCAAAGTAAGTATCCCTTTGTATCCAACACATTTGGTGTTCTCATCATCTGATTTGATTAAATTTGGTTGGAACACCACGGGACAGTGACTCAATGTGGCTGGCCAGCAGCATGACTGTTTCGAAAAACAAAAGTATTCTTGCAATCGTCTGCTGCGATTCTTTTAAGGCAGAATCACATAAATGGCACCTTTGTAATGAGCATGTGTTGTTTTTATTTTTTTAAATCTTGCAATAATGACTTAACATTCAGTGAAAATAGGTTTGGTTTCATGGCCAACAGCAGAGATTGATTGTGATCAACTCCTTCATTTTCCTTGTTCAGCTGGTGAAGACGGCCGAGCTGAATCCAAACAAAAACTACATCTTAGGTTGTCATCCGCATGGTATCATGAGTCTTGGGGCCTTTACCTGCTTCAGCACAGAAAGCTGTGGCTTCACCGAGGTGTTTCCTGGGGTGCGAGCCACCCTGGCGATACTGGCAGGACTTTTCAGGGTACCGCTCTTTCGGGAGTACGCCTTGTTTACAGGTATTTATACCAATGTTCAACGAACGAACTGAACTATTGACATTGGCCATTTCAAACCTTTGTGAAATACAATTGAGACTGCAAATGGAAGACAAAACAATATCTACATGTGATTGTTACCGTCTTACTTTGTCTGATCAGGTCTTTGTCCAGTCAGCAAACCAAGCCTTGGCCACGTCCTCTCAAAGAGAGGCAAGGGAAATGCATTGGTGATTGTGATAGGGGGCGCTGCCGAGTCTCTGGCGTCCTCTCCTGGAGTCAACGCGGTGGTAATGAGGCAGAGAAAGGGATTTGTCAGGGTGGCTCTTGAGTTTGGGTGAGAGCACATAACATAAGAGCTTCAAGTGGATGTCGATATACTCACCGGACACACCGATATAACCTCTGATGATCTTCCACAGGGCTGATCTGGTGCCTGTTTACTCATTTGGGGAGAATGATCTCTTCCGGCAGGTGGTTTTCTCAGAAGGCAGTCTAGGTCGGAGGTTACAGGACCTGTTTAAAAAGATTATGGGTTTCGCCCCGTGTCTGTTCATTGGCGAGCGCTTTGCATTCCTGCCCTACAGGATTCCAATCACCACCGTTGGTGAGTGTTTCTTTATACTGCAGGTGAGCCCAACTTCCTGTGCTCTGCCCGTTGTATTCTAACTCTCCGCTTCTTCCAGTGGGAAGTCCAATCTCAGTGCCACAGCGCGTCACACCCACTGAGGAGGAGGTCGACCACTATCACAGGCTTTACATGGAGTGCCTGTCCAAGTTATTCCATGAACACAAGGTCAGCTGTGGACTTGCTGAAAGTCACAAGCTCCAGATTATTTAGACATTTCCCTTCCAAATGAACTGTGAAGCTGTCTTTAATGATGAACTTCATCTTCAACAATCGATGGATCCTGCAGCTTTCTTTGTTCATACTCTACTCCATTTGAAAATATTTAACATGAACATGTGCCTTAAATAATCAAGACTCCCAGTGTGTGGGATTGTGTGTTCACAAAGCACTGAAACATTGGTATCTTGTTACGCTATTCTGTCATGAATTTCACAACGTATTTAAAAGTGTAGTGCATTTCTAATGTGATTTTACAATCGCTGACAATGTGCGATGAAAAGACATGCGTGAAATAAAAAATCCTTGCTTGTGTTGAATTGTATTAGCATGTTTGCTCCAAGTAACCCCGCTGGTTCATTATTAAATTGTGTTAATGAGATCCTAACAAAAGTGAGACTAGATAGCATGACAGGACCAACTTCAGAATGACAACTTTCCCATTTCATTTGTAATTGGATTAATCATACATGGCGGTATTTTTATCCTTGCTTAAAGGAATATTGAATATTCCTTGTACCACTGCAAGGCTTCTGCAGGTATCTTTTAGTTGGCAGCTGTTTAAAATGAGATGGCCAGCACACACGCACACGTGTAAGTCAATGGTTCACCCAGTAGAGGGCGACATTTTACATCTGTGAACCAAAAGGGTTGGGTTCTGGAGACACGAGCCACAAAGAAAATCATGAACAAAAAAGCACATTCTGTCAGATATAAACTCCTATCTTGTCCTTTAAAGTCGGACTCGCTGCTTTTCTGTGTCATTTTGTTGCTCCAATCACACAATCTTATTTGATGTATCATTAAATGCATATTAATGTAGTTTGATCACAACTTTATTGAGGAAACAATTTACAGCGGACGTTTGTTCTCTGGTTGCACAGTTATCACAAAATAAAATATTTAAGAAAAGAAAAATTCTAACCACTACAAAAAACAAAGAAAAAGAACACAACACTGGAAGAGAGAGACGACGGAAAGGACCAAGTGAACCTTCTAAAAGAAGTCCATGTCATCTGGAGCATCCAGGTCACGGTACTCGACGATGTTGCGTGGATCACCGCGGGACATTCTGAGGTGGTTGAGGGTGCAAGAGACAAACAAAGACCCGAGGAAAAAAGACAAGAAATGATCATAAAAAAAAAGAGGTTCAATATTCTCCAAACGCAAAAAATAGAGACAGCTCATAGCATAATAAAGATCACACGTACAGTGGTCTCACCTGAGGTTGCGTGGCTTCCCCAGGTAGCCACCTTGTCCGCGGAAGTTGTCATAATTGCCTCTGCCTCCTCCATATTGGTTGGGAGGGTAAGGAGGTCCGCCTGTTGGAAAGGAGGACTCAGAATCAACCCAAAAGGAGTGGTCTGATTGACAAACATTTCCACTGAACAGAAGAACAGACAGAGAACATACCACCGTAGCCCATCAGTGGTGGACGAGGCTGTCCAAAGCCCATTGGACCCTGAGGACCTTGAGGAGGAAATGGCATGCTGGGAGAAAGCAAACCTGTAGACAAAATCAGAAAAAAAAGAGTTCATATTGTTGTGGAGAAAATGTGATTGATTATTTAAGCCCCGGTGCACCCCAGTGAAACGATTCATATATTCAGTCAGTCTTTGTTGAAGTACTAAAATCTTGATTAGGACTGTGTGAGTTGTTCTTGACCTGGGCCTGGAAGAGGAGGAAGTTTCATCTCAGGCAGCGACGGTCTCTTGGCGTCCATCAGGAAATTATTGAAGAACACCACTTCCTTTTTCACTTCGTCAATTTTGTCCCCATGTTTGTTCAGGATGTGCTTTCGTACGAACTCGGGGCCCTTGACATTCATTTGAAATGCAAAAAAAAAAAATACACATTAACAATGAAGCAGCAAAATAATGCAGTATATGAATTAAAACATGTCAAACCTTTGAGGAGATTTAGTCAAAATCAGATAATAACACCTCAACATGTTTAACAAGCACTCACCTTAAATTTCTTGCCACTTAGCGGGCAGAGCCATTTGTCCTTCCCCAACTCTTGCGTGTTGGCATTCACAAACTTCTCAACCTCCTCCTCGGGGTCCTTGCGGCCCATCTTCCCTGCCTCGTCCTCAGACAGGATTTCTTTTAAACTGAACAAAGGACTCAGCTTCTCCTCCATCATCTTCTGCCATTGTTGCACTGTAGAAAAACAAAAACAAAAGTACAGTAAAGAAATATGCATTTCAACTCCAAAGGAACACACATTCTTCGTATAATATTTACTTTCACTCTTCCCACACAAACAAGGGGAAACACGCTGACCTTCTCCATGTGCGATGCGGTTAGGAGGGATGGGTCCACGTACATGGATCATGCCACAGCGGTTGGGCATTTCATCCTCACTGGGGTATTCACAGGTGTTGTAGTAGTCGATTGAATGCACGACACGCAGGTACAAGATCAGACGATCCAAAACCTGGAACAAAGCAGATGCCGGAGAAACATAAAATTATAGATCTTATTCCGTAGTTAGCCAGCCATCTGAATGACAGACATACTACGCAAATAACACAATCTGCTCTCAAAAGAGGGCCGTAAATGTACAGGTGACATACAATGCATTGTACAATGCAACTGTACTCATAACTGCGAGGGTCAAACCTTGGCTAGCTTGTCATCCCTCTCCACAGTCGTCTCCGCCGGGTTGCCTTCCTTGGTGCTCTCCTCAGAACCCATCCCGCTCCCTGAGCCCAGGAGCTCCTCCTCCTCAGCGCTCACCTCCTCTATCAGGTAATCTGTGATGTTCTTCAAGATGGGGTTCTGAGCCGGCAGCTGTTTCAGCACACATACGCGTACGATTCAGTTACAGCAGGATCATTCGCGAACCGATCTATTCAGATTGTAATTGCCGACCAGCGGCGTACCTCTGCGCGCTCTCTGCGCCTCTCTTCCTGGGACTTGATGCTCCACAGGTCTCCTTTCTCGTCCAAGGCGTGAATGAGTTTGGCAGCCAGCTTGATGTCGTTGCGGAGCACCTGCTTGTGCTGAGAGATGCCGTTGATATTACGCACCCTCCGAGCCAGGTCCCTGTTCACCCCTGGTGCCAGTTCACAGTCACGCAGCTGTTAAAAGGTAAGAGAGCAAAACAGAGGTTTAACAGCCGCAACTGCTATTTAGGAGATTAGTAATACAAACAGGTGCAAAGGACTATCCAAGGCTCCATTAACTCCAACATTTTGAGATGAGTTTAGAGTTCAGAAAACACAAAACCTGCTGCAAGTTATTTGACACTCTCTGCAACACATGCTATGCTGCATTTTACCGTCTCTTGAAGACCGTAGCGTCAATATCTGAGCCCGGCACACTTACTCGAATGTTCTGGAGGTTCCAGCAAACCTCTTTGATGTTGACGCTGCGGTCAAACGTCACCCAGCAGCGTCTGAAAAACCTGCAACAGCACAAGGTTCATTCCACCATTATTGCGCAATCATGGTGCAGTCCTTTGCTTCACACAATGTGCGAGTAAATGAATCCGACAAACATCATTTTCAGATCAAGAAGTTAAAAGAATGTGTTTGTTGTTTGTTTGTTTTAACCGACCTGCGCTCTGGATGGGGGTCAGACAAGCACACACGCAGAAAGCCAGGGTAACGGCGGCAAAGCTGAGAGAGGGAAAAAAACAAAACATAAAAGCATATTGAGTTCAAACAAAGACACAAATTATTGAGCGCCCTCAGTGATTCTACACGTCCCGGTCCATTAAAACCAACCATCTGCCATCTGTGTTCAACTCACAGCAATAATCTCCGCCTTTGAAATAGTGGGAGCGATGCTCCTCATGAACAGAGAGCAGGTCCTGTGGAGAGGCCGCGGCCTGGGAGAGTCATCTTTGGGTTTCTTTTCTTCTTTGTTGTCTGCTTCAGCATTCTCCTTTGGTTTCTCCTCTTCAGCACCAGATGGGAGAGAGTAGATTGGTAGGAGAAAAAAAATGAATTGCAAATACTGGGAACGTAGACACTGTACAGTCCACCTGGGGAGAAAAATCAGACACTGTGAATTTGACTCCTCACCTTCACCCTCCTCTTCCTCCTCTTCCTCCTCTTCGTCATCCTTGTCTTCCACCTCTTCCTTCTTCACGGGTTTATCAGAGCAGTTGGAATTTGAGTCTGAATCCGAGTCGGAGTCGCTCTCCGAGGCACTGGCTTCATCATCGCTGTCTCCGCTGCGCTTTCTCTTTCTTCTCGGCTGATGAATGAATAAGAGAACGATCGGAGCTATTTGGTTAGCTTCTTTCTCTGGTTCGCAAATCATTTTAATAATGGAAGCAACACTCACTTTCTTGGGTTCAGGCAGCTCTTCTTTGGCGGCTTCTTTCTCTGCCTCCTCTTTCACACCCTCCCCTTCTGCTGCAGCAGCTCTTTCTGTGCCGGCCGCGTCGCTCTCCTCCTGTGGCACAGTTCACCGTCATCAACACAGAAACCTCGACCGCCTGGCGGAGACTCACAGAGAACAGAACATACCTTCTCATTTTTCTCTTTCTCTACTGAAGGCTTGCGATCGCCGTCCAAGGATTTGAGGTCTTCTCTCTTCGGAGGTTCGGCGCCTGCCCCTGCAACAGACGCCGACTTCTCCCTTTCTTCCTCCTCTTCAGATGGCAGGTCCAAGATGCGAAGATCATGATCTGTCCCTCCCTCCATCTTTATCACAGCTGAAGGCAAGCAAGAGGGTATAAGGCTTATGTTAAAACTGATGACGGGGGGGGGGGGGGGCCTTTTCATTAGGGATTAGTCAGTTATTACAGTCTCACCTGCATCCAGAACCTTGATGATGACTGGGGTCTGTTCAATGTCCAGGGAGACATTATCAAACCAGCTGTTCTCCATCAGGAACGTGAAGACATTGAGGCGGTTGTGCAGGGCACTCTGGGCCTCTGCCTTCAGCCGGCTGGCCTCGTCGGGGTGATACTTGGACCTGAACCTGTGTCCAGAGTCGGGGTCCACAAAAAAGTTGGGAGGAGATGACGGGGGTTGGGATGAACGAGGTGCAAAAGTTAGAGAACAAAAATGCATATTATACATCTATATTGCAGCTGTGTCATAAGATTCCAGAAATATGATTTATATGCACATTATAATTTCGTTTTTTTTACCAGATGTTCAAGAAAAAAAAGCATTTATAATTGAGTTTGTTGGGAATTTAAATATCTACACAGATCATAATGAAGATTGTGATTTCTGTATTGCCTAGTCCTTGTGTTAGGTCATTCAGTGTATGCATGATTATTAGTGATTATTATAGCTAATTATTGTACATTTGACTAGATTAACTCACCAAAAAATAAGGGGAAAACACAACAG